TTTATTGTCTTCTTGTTTTGCCAAATCTCCTTAAACAGTCACAGACAGGTAATGTGGATATTGAGAACATTTGTCATAGTTAAATCTGGTCCAAGAAACAGGCTAATTCTGTAGTCAAAGGCAGCAGTTTATTTCCTAAAATGATGTTAGAACATGGCATACTTTGTTCTTATTGATATACTGCTACTGTGAATTACAGAGGGAGTATATCAAGTTAACAGCTTAGTTTATACCTGGAGAGATAGGACAGAAAGTTCTGGAAACACACAATCTAATAGATTCAAAACCAATACCTCCAGAAGTGGAGCAGCCCTTCTAACAATTAATCTCCAACACAGCACCCAGACTAGTACTACTTCTCATACTAAAGCATTGTTGGGATTTTCTGTATTAAAATACTAACAGAATGGGTAATTATGCAGTTGCTAGATCCACACATTTAATATATCCACCATGAAAACAGTTTGTGGTCTTTAAGGCAGCAGAACACTGATCTCACGTAGAATCTCTAACAGGAAACACCAACTGCTTGTGCCGGTGCTGTTATTTAAGGCATGTGCTAATATGCAGTCTCTCCTCCTGAAGACAGAGGCCATTCTGCCTCTCTGAGTACAGCAGAACTGGACATGAGTAATACCATTCATATATCAACAGTGAAACACTGACTGCAGAGAAACTACTGCTTTGCAGTAAAGTATTTGGGGATGAAAGACGCGTTTGCGAGAGACTATAAAGTAAATTGAACTGTATCAAGTGAAAAAATTGCTGTCTGCAAGATAAAATGGCAAGAAAATTAAAACCATTTAATCCATTAAAAAAACAAGCATTCTTTCTTCATAACGTATAAGATCTCAGATAAACAAATACTGTTACCCTTGCAAGTGCCTGGTGCATCGCTGCCCCAGAAAGCGAAGACCAACCACCTGTTGCAGAGCTTACCTGACTACCAGTGCTGTAGTGGATGTAGACTTCCCAGTCAGTAATAAGATAAAAATAATTACAAGGTTTACAAAGTATCTAACCACCTTAACTTGAACATTTTAAGGAAATAATCAATATTACTGCCCATTTGAGGCATCCCTGCCCATGACAGGGAGGTTGGATTAGATGATCTCTGAGGTCCCTTCCAGCCTATGCCATTCTATGATTCTATGATTCCCTCAGCCTTATTCTGAGGTGGGATTCTCTTAGCAGCTAAAATTGTAGTATGTCACTCTAAAAGCGATCTTACACCTTTCACCATTTCGTCCCTCCCATAACCATTATCTTCCTCAATCTGAAAAACAGCTCAAGCAGTCTTTTCTCCCTGTTTCATGTTTCAGCTTTCCTGTATGAGCAAAATGAAGCAGTCATGGCTGCTTTGAATTTCTGACATCACACGTGTTGCTATAGGGACAGCAACAGTTTCTGGCAAGGAAGGCTGGAACAGCAGAGATCAAGCAGGGTACCTGTTGCTTGGCAGAGGGCCCGCTCCAGGGAAGAGCTAACCTCTTCCATACTCAGGCTGCCAGCCTCTGCACACCTTAACAGGATTGAGGGTATCTGCCCTGGTATTCAGGTGTCAATTTTACCATCTCAATGCTGGACCCATCGCAAAAAGTTTTAGCTAACCTCATTTTTATTTAGGAATAGTGGATTGTGAATAAGATGCAAATAGATATTTGCTGAATTAGTTCAGCGTTTCAGGAGTTCCCTGTACAGTGACAGTGAGCTCTCTGCAGGCCACACAATAGGACAATGCCGTATCCTACAGCACAGTTTCTGTTTTGATTACATGTTTTATAAATCAGAGGAATGTAAGCTTCACTTCAGAAAACCAAGCTAGAATTTATGCAAAATACGTACAATTTCTTCTAGCAGTAAAGAGGTAAACCACGTTTATCAGCTGCCTATGAAACTTAGTATTCACTTTTTCCTTGTCATATTCCCATTAAGTCGCTGCACATATATAACGGGCTAGGCAAGTATGCCTGGCACCAGCAGTGCTATTTACATGCATATACATGGTGAAAATAAAGGCTCTTCTCCAAACTTTCAAATGAATCACCACCAAAATCATCACTTAATAAAGATTCAGAAACAAACCAAAACCAGACAGGAACATACTTAAATTAAAAATCAAGAATCTAGTTAAATGACTGGCTTTGCAGATGCAGTTTTCCATTTCCTGCCTGCATGCAGCTGAGATGCAGCCCCAGCCCAGCAGAGCACCATTCAGTCGGAGTTCATGGAGCCTTGCGCTGAAACAGTAAGCCCCATTCAGCCAGGAGGAGTTGCAAAAATTACATGTAAGGAACCTACAAAAGACACTGATAAGGTGAATTAAATTTCTTAAAGAAATATTCTCTGTACCTTTGTGCCACTACAAAAAAAAAATAATAAAAGCCACATGGAAACTGTGGCGTGCCTTCCTCCACCTCCCTCTAGCAGTGCAAGTCGCTGACTCCAGCAGCTCCTCTGCCCTGGGCACAGGTTAAGCAGACCAGGTGCTCCAGAGCCGTAAGAGCTATCTGCTCCATACTGTTGGCATGGGGAGAGCCACAGCATCTGCTGAGGGGCACCTACACACGTCACTACCTCCCATTTCACTCCTGTCCTTCAGCCACCCGATTTACTTGCTGGGAGTTCTCACAGTGTTTGGGAAGGGATTTCTGCCGTCCTTACGCATACAGCGAATGCAGCAGGCTGCCCCAGAGTCCTGACTGCAATTCGGCAAATCCCTCTCTAAGCAACTGGGCTTTGAAAAACAAACAAGAAAGTCCCAAACTCTGATGTGGAGTTTAACGTAGGTTCATGGCTCCCTTCTTCTTGCCCCTGTCGGACCAGGCAAGGGGGCAGAGGATTGGGCTCAAATGCAGATTTAATGATAAACCAAGGGCTGTCAAGGTGAATTTGCCTTCCTCCTCCACTGCAAGTTAGTAATCCCTTTGCCCTAACCAGACTACTTGTTACAAGGTAGGTACTCCTTCATATTCTGGGGTGGCTACGCCAGTTATATAGTATTTTTAGGTCATGGTTGCCTCTGCTGACTGTGTCACACTGCCTGGGAGGGTTACTCAGAAAGGCTGACTTTTACCTTGGGGGCCAGTCTTCATAGGCTTTAGACTTCTACAATCAACAGGTAAAAAGGCTTCTCTAGAGCATCAGTTCAATGTCGTTTCTGAAACATCCTCTGAACCACCTGCTCTGTGTCTCTCTCTCCTTTGGTTGAAGGGCTAACCCAGGGAGATTAGCCCCACAAGGTGGCAGCCGGCAGAGTACCAGCCTCTCCATCTCGCTGTCTCCATACCCAGAACTTTAGACTTCCGTCTTCCAAATGGAAATACCATGTTCCCCACATCCATGGGTCAATCTTTCAATGCTCTCACACCCACTGTCCAAATAAGGCAAGCATTCAGTTTAAGAGCCTTTACCACCAACTACAAAAGCAACAAGCACTGACTTTGTTTTCCAGATTTTTCAGGCCAGGGGAAGTTACTCCATTTATCTACAACAAGGTCAGGCAAGAGGCAGCATTTACTCAGATACTGAGCAACACTATCAGAGACCAAGTAAAGTATCAAAGTAGAATCTGAAATTTCCTAGAATGCGACATTTGCTAGAAAATGTTGCCTATATATTGGCAGGCATTATGCTGAACACAGCTATTCAATATGCACTAGAACACATTCCAATTGTTGCAGAAAAATCACTCCCTGTGAAATAAAACGGTGGGGGGTGCAGTGGAGAAATGCAAATTATCTGGTGTTCTCTGGCACAAACAGGACAGGATAAAAGTCTTTATTAACAGCATGGTTTGATTTTCTAATTATCCCTTTTTTATTACAATGAAGAGAGATATTAAGGGATTGTTATGAAGACAGATTTTAGAACCATACCCCAGTTGTTCTGGGGCCATCCTTGGGGGTGAAGGTAGAAGGGCAGAGCAGTGCTGCAGACCTCAGATGGGACACAGTCCCACCGCTGCTTTACTGTGGTTGAAGTAACAGTATGTTTTAGCCAACATTCTCTTTTCCAGAGCACTGGATACTTGGAGAAAGTAAAAAAAAATACCCTGGTTTTCTACTCTGCAGGGGTAGGCAACAACACAGGCCCATTCTTCTTAATTATTCCTGAATCTCACCTCTCATATTATGAATTTCCTTGCAGAATAAGGCACAACTGGGAGAGGCAGGGGGCAGAGAATACAACCCAAAGATCCTACCCTAACTATTCATTTCAGTCTTGAGGAAAGTCACACAGAAAAATAAAGCAATGGCATTTTTAAAGAACTTTTTCTGAATAGCAGAGATAAGCAAGTATTTTGAGAAAAAAGTTTGAATATTGAGACTGAACATGATGAATTTTTACCCTATTTTACTGTTTTAACCAGAGAGAGGCTATGTAAGAAACTCAACAGCCTGTTCAGGAGAGCTGCAGGCAGATCGCATTCAAAGAGTGCGGTCTTAAAAGCACAAAGGTGTCACCCACTCCATCAGCCTTTGAATTTACATAGTCCTCTACAGTACAATTTTTCACTTTCTCAGGGACCTACCAACACATTCACTCCTCTCCTTATGAGAGGAATTCCTCCATTCTGAACAAGAGGGGAATTTCATTCAAAATGAGCATGTACCTTTGTAAACATTGACTGACTTTTACAAATGAACCCTCTGCAGTTCAGCAAAACAGGACTCTCAGCCACAGAAAGCTCCCTGCGTGGGATGTTTATGCACGTGTGATGTTTTTGTTCACAACAGTACTGCGGTAATGAGCCTGGAGCAGTTCAGGTGAATGTCAGCAACCAAGACTTCAGCCAATCCAGAAACAGCAGTCACGGAAGCGAGGGAATAGATCACCACATCATTCAGACGGTGGGACATCTTTTCCTATTCCTAGAAGAGATCTTATGATATTAGAGCAATTAGAGAGGATTGTTGTGTCTATTTGGGCAAGCTCCTCACACAGCAGTTAAAACTAAAAAGAAAAAGAAAGGAAAAAAAATAGTTTAAAAAAAAACATATTGTGAAAGTGGCCTACAGCGTGCTGCATTCTAACTATTGTTGGTAGGAAAAGACTGTGTGAAGACGAGGCTCTCCTACCATTCTCTTCCAAATCTCAGTAACTGAATTTAGAAAGTGTCCGAGGGATGGTTCTGCAAAGGATAATGCTCAGCTGACAGATGAGAACACGAGGGGTAGTATACAGGAAAAGATTTGCTATTCATTACCTAAAGTTTGTATTAATGTGCCTTTTTCAAATTATGCCTGCTAAATAGAAACAATTTGCCTTAATTCAATGTGAAGGAGAACAAAAGCAGGCTCAAGAATGAATGCAGTCTTTGAAGGTACCTATAACATCAGTTATAGGACGATGTTGTCTTTTCAACAGGCTAAAGTCTTTGTGAATCAGCTCTCCACAATCTGTGAGACTGTATGGACACTGGCCCTCCACCAGACTTTCCTGCTACTACTAGTAATTGGGAGGTGGCTTCTCCCCATTGGAGTTGAAATCACCCGGGATCAATTGTCTCAGCTGCTTCTCATGTTTGTGGGAACAGCAGCAGATATACTTGAATTTGCTAGTGAAACCTTGGACATCGAAGATGTTCGGTAAGGACCATTTGCTGACATATTTGCATAGTGCAAGATATTTGTTTTGTCTGAAGATGTTTGTGCGATCTGCGGCGTTCAGACTAGTGGGACTGTATTTCCCACAGATGACAGAAGGCTACGTTCAAAGGCTCCGTTTCCCTACTCTCACCTTTCTCTCTGTAAAAGACCTAACAATCCTATGAGCTGCTGCAACTCAGCTGTTGCCAGCAGAGAAGCGTGTTGCATCTATCACAATAAAAGGGTAGAGAGCCAAACAACTAGCGTAACTGCCACGCAGCGCCAGTTCTTACAGCTACAGGAGCTGAAACACTGGACACACTGTAAGCCTCTTTCAGGTTAATGAATTGTTTTAGACTAGCAAGGAAGCAACTAGAGTTTGCTTTAGTGATTCATTATCCAAGTTGCTTCTTTGGTTATCTCATATGTACTTTCTTCATGATAGAATGACAAAGTGTTCAAAGATAAGAAGAAAGGGAATGGCATAGTCTGGTGTGAATTTTCAACATCGTGATCTCTCCCAGAGAAAGTAAGCCCATCTCCCCCTCATGCACTGAGAGATAAGCTGTGAACATCCATCATAAAGAAAAAGAATCACAGATGATGTTCATTCTCTCTTACAGACATGTTTTTTTTTTCTTTTTTAAATATCACAGAAAAGTTTTTATAGCAGGAAAATAGGTCCTTCCCACTTGTCAGAGAAGCTTGAAGCTTGCAAGGAATGTGTAATCACTTCAAGAGTAAAGATATCAGCTCTTATCAGCTACATAGTCTCTTTCCATATGCTTATCATTATAATGTTAGCATCAGATATTTAGCGTAATTACACAGCTGAACACACGGCCTGAACAGCAAAAATTCTATATCAAAAGGTGCCTCTGTTTTCCTAAGTCTTACCTCTCAGAGTGTCCATTAATCAATCACTGTTTCTCTCAACCAGCCTTTAAATAACATTTAAAATACTACAGAAAACTTTTGTTATCACATAAGTAAACTGCATCTTCACTGTTACCTTTTTTCCCCCCTCCCATAGGAAGAATTATGCTCTTATAAATGCAATTCTTGCTGTATGGACCTGGAGTATGTTACAGTTTCCACTTGATCTTGCAGGTTAGTATTGGCACAAAGACAAGAAAAGAGAATAAACGCTTCACATTTTTGCTGGCATGTCTTGCGGCTGTGCACACGCTACAGGCTATACCAAGGGCTTCCGGTGGAGAGCAATTTGTATGAGAATTATGGTTTTTGAAGAAAGCCCATTGTGGTTTCTTTTGAGGAAACACTTGTTACTGCCTAACCTCTGATCTCCCTGATAAAACACTCTTATTTTCAGAAAAAAAATGAAAGTGCAATATTGTATTGGAGCATCCGCTCCAGTTCCCTGTCACTGCTATAAACTTCACTGTGTGAGCTCTCGAGTTAGATCTGGTCTTGGATTATATTATGGCTCAAATCTGGGTAGGTTGCTAGACCTTATGGAGACATAAGCTATTGTTAACCACAAGGGACAGCACAGTCAAGAGCACGGAAGTGGTTATCACAGGAGAAATTACCTATTCGCAGGGAACCTAAAGGACCATATAACACTGGGACTGTGCACCCTTATCTTAAACTACAAGGCCCAACGTTCAGCCAGGTCAGGCTGGCATTTGTCCCTTGGCTGAAAAGGCTTCTCCACGTTCAAGAATAATGAAAGCCACTTCCATCATCATTTGTTCCAACCATTTTGGCCTCCAATCACAACAAGTTTGCAACTCAGCTATATCAGTCCAAAGATAGGCCATCCTCACTAGCATCTTACATAGAATTGATGGCTAGGTTGACACACTGATTAAAATAATGAATGAATAAAATAATAATGAAAAATTATTCCAGGAATTTTTCATTAGCATTTTCATTAGTCCATCACTAGGCTTTGTTTTTAACACTGAAGTTATGAAAATATTTCAGCATTTCAGCTCAGCAGCTCACCTTCTGAAAAAAAATCTGAAATGCAATGGCATCAGTTATCACGGCTAAAGTTTCTGTTACTGGCAAAGTACACTGTTAAAGATGCGATACTTCGGTTTAAAACCAACCAACCCCCAAAAACCCCTAGCCACCCATACACATTACCACTCCCCAAATAAAACTACTGCTGTGATTCTTTAAGCACTGTTTTTATGTCAGTGAAGTAACCTGTTGTACTGTGCATTTTTTTCTCTGGCTATTGTTTTCCTGCTTATTTAAATACATTTACCAGTTAAATTTTGAGGCAATATATGTTCAATAACTTAATTTTTACTATGGGTACAGTTTATTTTAGATAGTTCTACACAGTTACACAGATAGTACTTTTTATTCAAGCATCAGTATGTTTACTCACACATCAAACATAATGTAAAATAGAAATTTATGGGCACTTATTATTGGACTAGAGCAATGCAGTCTATTAAACAGCAACAGCACAAAACATTAAAAAAAAATCAGCTGCTGCTGAAGCCTTGCCTAATGGATTCAGCAAATTTCTACATTCTACAACTCATTTTCCACTCGAGTCTCATCTTTCTTTTTTCTCCAGCATTAACTCAAACAATAGAATTCTTTTGATAAGCTGAAACGTTTGGCAGTTGTTACTGCATCACAAGTAGCTATGTTTTTTAAACTAATGAAATCCCACTGCCTGAGAGAGAGAGACAGGTTAGTTAAGTCACATGCATTTTCCTAAAAGGCAGCCATATTTACCACACGCAAACCCTTCTGGTGATCCTTCTCTGGACACCATACCACAAAGACCATTCTACCCCACCACCACTTTTATAGTCAAGGGGAACACATCCATGCAAGTTCCAACAGCTGCATGCAAGTTCATACCCAGAAGGCTAAGGATGAGTAACTGTGGCTCAATTCTTAAGTGGCACGCAGCGACCACAGTTTCTTCCTATCCATAATGCTCAATACTGTCCTGCACTGACATGACTTATTCTTACTATGACACAGGAAAAAAGGCAATAGCTATCTGGTGAATAAAAATATCTTTTAAAAGCAAAGTCTTAGCCTGAAACAAATTGAAGTGCTACAGCTCAGGCTGTTCCCATTCAGCCTGGTAGGTGTTTTTTTTTTCTTAAAGAGACACGTTAGCCTAGCATGTTGATCCAACAGAAAAGTGTCTGGGGAAGACGTTACAGAAAGATTAGGTGACCTACTTTTGCTTCTTGTTTTAAAAGGGCAGAAATACCGATAGCTTTGTGGGAGAGGAAGGGGAAAGCAGGTTTTGGTCCTGTTCAGCAGACCACATAAATGTCTGCTTAACTTGAGCTTAGCATGTTTTGCTGAAACAGATCACAGAAACAGGATACACTTTATGTTGAATTGTTCACGGTTGAAAGCATTTATAATACAGGGTACCCGGGATGGTAACTGCCCTTAAAGCCAATCCTGGCTCAATTTTAGAGAGTTGTTTTAACATAACTATGCTTTATTTCCAGTACAGCATATTGGCTGCAAACCAACTGTGTCGCCAAGGCGGATCCCCAGCCTGCTGCTGTGCAGGTACAGTGCAGAACTGTGGAACATTGGGGTCAGCCTTTTCATACAGGACGGTCCCTTCTTCATTGTGCGTTCAATCCTGATGGGCCACTTCAGAATATTCAATCAGATGCTGGTGTTTTTTACAGCTAAAAATATCTTAGTTGTGACTCTACAATTGTATCGTTTGGCAGTGATAACGTTAGACTTCCGTGCTACCATTCTGCAGAAGAGCAAGAAAGAAGTCAGCTGTTGCCCCTGCGAGCCTTGTGAAGCTAGTACTCATGCTACTGCTGATCAAGATACTGAAATGAGAGAGTTTGTTGCTTTTCCTCCAAAAGAGGAATCCCAAGCTCCATCAGTTGATCAGTGAGCACAGTTACCGATTTGAAAGAGGTTGCATTTCCCACAGCTCCTTCAGAAGAGCTTAGCCTATTTCTATGATCAGACACACCTTGAGTGAGTGCCTAATTTGTCTCTTCCACCAGGAGATGGATAATTTCTTCTAAGTTGTAGGGGAAATTTCTGAAGCAAAGTCATAGAAATGGGACATTTTTGTATCTATTTGTATGGTGGGTTTTAACTTATTCCCTATTGTATTATCCACGGGGATTTCGTAGCCATAGTTTGTAGTAGCAAGAAAGGTTTGGCACGCTAACGAAGTGGGTTATTACCTTTGGTGGCACTGTGCCAACACATGTACTTATATGTAATGTATTTGAATAGAAGGACAAGCCTGTTCATTGTGGGAAGTACAGAAGCGTTTAGCTTTAGTTATAGCCTGACCATTGAAATTGGGCTATAGTAGAGTATAATGAACAATACGTTCATCACATATAGGAGCAACTTCAGCAGCAACAACTGTACAGACATGCAAGTGAAGGGGCATGACAGATTTCTACTGTTAACTGTGACATCAAAATATTGTTCATTCAAGAAATTTTAAAAAAACTTGTTCAGATGTTACCTCATCCTTGGTGGGATTCAGTTAAAAGCTATGCAACACCATGAAACAGCATAAACAAGACTGTCTCTTAGGTTCTGCATAGTTTGAATAACCTAAACCTTACAAATAAAAAAAGTAAATAAAATCAGTCCCACAGATCGTTAGAAGACAGCTACATTTGTCACAGGCATTTTCTACAGAGGTGCTTGCCTTTCTATTTCTACTAGTAAGAATACACACACAACAACAACCAAAAAAAACAAAACCCAAAATATTTGTAAACACTTCCCCCCCCACCGGTTTCACTGTGCTTGCAGTTGAGACAAGTTTTTAATATTTCTCCATTTTATATGATTTTTAGAAGTGGCTTGACTCAGGAATACAATCTAACTAGAAAGACAACAGCACTGCTCAAGTTTGATAGGACAATCTAGACAAACAGATTCAGGCTTGTGCTTCACATTTCGTAAAGCACCACAAGGTCCCATGAAATAACTTGAGAGATTTTCTGGTCTGTTGAGTGTCAAGATCCATTTTAAAGAAGTGGCTAATAATTATTCATTTACTACTTGGACATTTGGAGTGAACAACATAGGCCCTAATAAATTTCTCCCAAGAACACACTTTATATCAGTGTAAGACCATTGACTTTGCTGGGCTTAGCTTAGAGAAGTTGAAAGAAAGGTAAGTGATTTTTGAAAATCTGCCTAAAAATTATTTTCTCATAGAATATGGCAGGTGCTTTTACAAGTTTCTGCACCCGTTCTAAAAGAGTGCATAAAAGCATATAAAAAATCTAGCAAATATAAAGTAACCTAATTAAGGTAACTTCCCTTATTAAAAACTCCCAATTAAACTATTTTCTAAAGTCTTCACTATCTAAAAATGGAATCCGGTCTGGGGAATGAATAAAAGTGTTTCTACCACCACTGCAGTGGTCATATGCTTTTTTATTCATAGTCTGATAAGCAGTTACATGTTTATTCTTTGAAAGATTAGCCTATTTAAAAATTCCAATCCTCAAACATGTGAACCTGTGTTTTTATTTGTGAGCTGTTATTCTTCTATGCAGAATCAGGCCCTTCCACTACGAAAGAAGAAAATACATAGCCATAAAAAAGGATGGAAGTCTCATATACTTCATAGCCCTTTCTAACATTTATACTCAAGAAACAATGTGCAACACCTCCTGCTCTTCTTATTTTGGGCCTTTTTCCAGCAGAAATTAACAAAAGCCAGTCATCATTTGCCATGGCATTGTGAGGTAGACATATGGAGAGTGGAATGCAACTTCATTTGGGATTTTAATTCAAGTCTAGAAGTAAAAAAGTTAGTGCTGCTGCTGACCAGCTGTGCTGTCTAAAACCTTTCACACTAGGGTGAATTTAGAATTGGTTGGTAGAACTGCAACACGTCTCTTCCTTGTTGATGCAAGCCAGGACGACTCAAATTCATTCTGAGTTTACCACTTGCTGCTATAGTAATTATCCTGTTAAAAGGATTCTTGCTAATTAATTTGGAGTGTACTGAGCTTGCTAGAACATCATTCCAAATTCATCAGCACAAAAAACGCAGGGCGTACTTTTTTTAAAACTTGCTGTCTATTTAAAGGGCTTAGTTCAGCAACAAACTGCCTACGAGGCTCAGCCTGCAGCAAATGCAAGATCCCCTGGGGTCAGCAATACAGAGACTAGTTACAGCAGGAATATTTCACAGAGAACTATATTTCCTAGTCTTCAGGCTGTTCCATTTTAAGCAGCAGTAAAACTTCTAATCAGATTTACTGTGAGAAGAACTCATTCTGGTGCTAGGTTTTTACTAATAGATCCCATCCCCGATCACTCACGGACAGAACATGCTAGATCCTCCCTCATGCTTACAATAGAATAGATTTGGACTTCCCTCAGAGGTGACAACAAGCAGATTGCTTAAAAACAACAAAAAAAACAAACAGACAAGCAAAGCACTTAAATGGTGGGTAGTCTACCTCCTCACCTGTGTGCAGAGGGGAATCGCATACACCAGGTAGCGACAGTAGTGACACACAGTTCCCTCCACCCCATTGAGAAGCCTGGAAACGGACACCAAGAAGTCTAGTAGCTTGCATGCTTGGTCACAGTGGCAAACCCTGTTCACCTTCCTCTTGCAAATTTTTTCCAAGAGGGAGGACTACAGCACTGTTTTTCCAGCAGGCAGTGTGAGTTGGCTGAATCGGCAGCTGGGTGTGGGGAGCCATTGTGTCACCCTGCAGCTTTCCAGAGCTTTGCACTAGGCAAGCAGTAGAACACATCTTCTCAAAGATCTGCCAGCGGCTGTGGCGTATCTAAAGAACAACTGATGTCATGTTTGCTACTCAAGGGAAGTTGCAACAAACTTTCAGACAGGGAAAATTCAAGCCTTCAAAATAGAAGGATTTCAGAACATTTATCTAAACCATTATTTACTTGAGTCAGGAGAATTACATTACTAAATCTCCTCTGCAAATATCTAGACATTTACTGTTATTTATTCTGGTTGTTCGTGCCTTGTCCTTTTAGATTATTCCATAAACCTCACTAAAATGTTTTACCACTTGTCTTTTCCTGAGCCAAAATTTTCCTTTCGTTTGGACATTAGCTTATATGAGATAATAGCCCTAAGCTTAAAAAAAAAAAACACACACAAAACCTAAACAACAAAAAACCCACAACACAAAAAAAACTCCAACCCCACAACAACAATCATGACTTTATTGTGTTTCTGTTGGTATTTGTACTGTACTATGTTCTTTGGGACCATGTGGAAATGGAAGAAAATGTGCAATTTTAAAAAATTCCAACTGTATTTTGCAAATAAAAGGCAGTTACCTCAGGCATAGCTGCCAATTTATTATGTGAGAGCTGACTGTTATATGTTCCCATTAATTACATCTTCCACATGCTGCTTTTCCTTTCCATCCTTTGTAAGTTAATTACTGAGGCCAGATTCTGACTGCAGCCACTGCTTTGAAAACCCACAGCAATAGCAGTAAATTCCACTCTTTGCTGGGTAGGTTCTTCTTTATTCAGAACCTTTGCCTCCAAATATACAGGTCACAGTGTAATCCCAGAAAGGATGTGTTTAGTATCTGCACACAGGGCGCATTTTACAGATGCACACAAACATGCATTCGGATACCCATACACACCTGGCAATGCCTAATGCATACAGCTTCTATTTCTGTTAGATGTGTGAGATTGCTGATGAAAACACTCTGCAGATGTCTGTAAAAGACTTACAGAAATACCTGAACACTACAAATATATTAAAGCTTAGGGTTCTAAATACTCAGCATATGATACTTTCTGAACAATATACTGATTTAAAAAAAAAAAGAAAAAATTTTTGCAAGTTCCCTGAAATATATTCTTTCCATGCAGGTTTCCTCTATTGAATGAAACCTAACCAATCATTACTTCCCCCTCAAATATAAAGTTTTTGAAAATAGCATTAGAACTGAAGACTAGCATCTAAAACTGCACAAGGCTGTTTCGCTGGTTGTATCAAGAGAAAATAGATAAGCCTTGAAATCATCAGGTCGAAGAGTTCTTGTCCCTCTGGGCCTGTGTTCAGTTCTCCATCTTTTGCCATGCCGTTATATGAGGAAGGAAACCTTTCCTTCCTTGGGAGAGAAAGGAAAACAGATTATTCCTAATCTGCAACGGTGAGGCAATAAAAAGGGGTCATGATGGCAGAAGTAGCAGAGATGTTTGCCCAAGATCAGTCATTGCACCAGCAGGAAAATACAGCGATACAGACCCCTAATGGAACAGATACTAATGACTGAGAAAACCACACAAACTGTGTTCTGAAAACTTTCCCTGGCCCTTCAGAGGCAGCATGGGAATAGTTCTCATCAGCCACCTTCACTCCAAAGATCTCCAGCCAGCTGCTAATACAGGAATTCCAGTGGTCCTGAGTCTGTCTTGCAGGTGACCTTAAAAACCTTCATGCAAACTTTTCCTAATTTGGGCTCATTTGGGTCCTGTCTTCTCTTTAGATTGGGTTAAAGGGGTGGGAGGGAAAGTGGTGTAACAATATAAAAAGCTCAATTTATCCACCTAAACTCTTACTTCATCCTCTACATACTGCTGCTCTTTCCCCATCTGCATTTCCAGCTGCTTTCTTGGCCCACTGTCCAAATCTCAGTACGTGGACAAAAGACAATAAAGACTGAACTTTCCGCTACTGCCTGTAAAGGTCTTCACAAAAGCACACAAGAATTCAGGCCAATCAAAGATTAAGAAAAGCCAAGCCTATTTCTTCCTGTTAAAGACAAAAAGTATCTACAGCTGCCAAAGAGCTTCCTCCATTTGTTTGTAGCCTACTACACAGAAAAGAATGTTTTCCTGAGCTGCCCTTCTGTGAAGGACTGGCTTATTTAAAGAGCAGCATCGTTTCCAGTAGCC